GTTCGCTCAACATTGCTGCTTTCTGATTGGACAAAGCTCCTTCTCGTTCTTCTTCCTCCGACGCGACTTCACGCGTCAAGGTATCTATATGAGTCCATTCATAGTATGGTAGTAGTAATGGCATCTTGGAAACTACGAGGAGACACTTGAAGATGTTAGATCGATTGTGATATGATATGTAAGAGACCTGATCGGATACTCCACACCTGTGGAATATTTCGATCGAATTACCTGCAAGTACGTTATGTATGACCAGTATGTACTGTGTAAGTAAATTTCCTGGATATCTTAACAAGAGGTAACGGAGGCATTCTACTTAATTCCGATCCTACAAACCCAATTTATCCAACAAACATAAATAGATTTAATATGGTCAAGAGAGAAATGGAACCAAAAAGAAGATAAAAATGAGGAGGAAAAATGGAAGACCCTCTTTATATCGAGTCGAAATGAAAGGACATCATCATAGTTGGTGAAGTTTCCCATGTAGCTGGAGGAAGTATGCTAAGAGCTGTGAGATCCGCACTTGTCGACCCGCTAACCGCAAAGCTCTTCTTTTCCCCGTTCTCTGCTAGCTTCCAGTCAACAACCATACTAACAAAGTTGTTACTACATACACATCTCTCAGACGTTGCCACTACTGCTGTTGCTGCTGATTCTAGGGATATTTATCGATCTCAATTTGTCGCGATCCTCTCAAGTGACAGTGCTACCTATCACCTGTTTCAATTGCGAGTGACGACAGTCGCGTATGGCTTTCTCGTTTTTCAACTTATTAGGTTATTCTTTTGATTTTTGACGTCTTTTGATAGATTGGCCCTTCGTATAGTCCGACTCACCTCGATCAAGAGCGGGTTCATCTCGGCGACCGCAGCATGCCATGAACGGCACTCCTCGACTTCGGTCTGCCTTTCCTCAGACCCCTCAAACGCTTCAAAGAACAAGAGAGTATAACATTACACCGACGAGGCCTAAGCCGGGGGATATCGGGCGGCGGAGATCCCCAGTGAAAGCACCGCAGACCAAAGTGGACGCGCCTCTCGTTCCGACCGGCGTGATAGATGCCCCGTCGCAGAGGCTCTACGTGGTAGCTTTCTACATTGCGCTCAATGCATGGCGTGTCTATGAGTCCTGGACAGCTTCAGACGAGCTGGACTCGACCTGGCTGTTTCTAAAATGGGCTTCCATTGACGGAATTTTTCTCTTCGGCCTGCAGGCCTTGCGCATACCTTGGCTTGAGTGGGCGTTTCCAACAACGCTGGCGATCTTCTTGGTCCATGTAGTCGGTAACATGTTTCTCATGTTTCGAATTCCTGTACGTATCCCAACCTGCCGTGTGACGTCGACTTGCTCACACCAAGCAGATTCCAATGAGTGCGTGGATCTCTGGAATCATCAAAGTGGCATACGATCGGGAACTATCCATTTCTGAACGTAGTGTCAAACCTGGAGATATCATTCATAATGCCTCTCTCATTCTCGGAAAGCAGATCGTTCACATTCTACCGGAGGGGTAGGTTCTCCTCGTCAAGGATGACCCATACCCGCCAACTGACGTTCTTTAGATCCGCCGTTCTGAATCCGGATCAGATCCCCTTCTGTCTAGATTCTCAAAAAAGCACGGTTAATGTACCGATTCGCGTCAATCAAACCGACCCGGTTCTCATAGAACTATTACGCCTAGATCTCAGCACTGGTGAAAATGAAACGATTACAATCTCATCGAAGCAGCTGAAGCAGATGAAACGTCAGGCAGGCAAGAAATTTCCGAGCTCGGACGCACTCGCGCACCGTGATATACTCTACCCCATCCGGCGCACTGGCATCTATCGTTTACAAAGAGTTGTGGACGAGTCAAATCTTGAGGTCCGCATGCGCTCATCTGACGCACTTGTTGTTTCCTGTCCGCGCGCAGTAATCAAGACCTCCCATACTCACAAATGCAAGGGAGAATTATCTAATCTGGTGTTGGAGGTTGAGGGTACACCGCCGTTGAAGATCAAATATAGTAGACAAGTGAATAGGCTTGATCGCGGATTTTCCTTCCAGAATATTCAGCCTGATCACCTACGGTCGCCATTGCTTGGGCAGAGAAGCTCAGGCATTTTGTTTGATGCAAAACAGCCAGAGATCACATGGGCCCAGAGTCAAACCATCGAAGTCCCACTGAACGAATCTTTGAACGTGGGAGGGGAATGGTTCTATACCATTGAAGAAGTCCATGACGGTTGTGGGAATATAGCAAATTATTCGACGCTTCTGGACGAAGTTGATCGATCCTCGCCAAAGCCGCTGTCGCATTGGCACCAGTTCTCCGTACATGAAAGACCTCGTCTATCATTGTCCGGCTGCGATGACCAGCATTTCATCGAGGTCGCGAAAGGAGAACATGTGAATCTTCCCCTAAAGTTTCACCCGGTTGGGCAAGGATATGACAACGATGGGCCCTTCTCCTTGGGTTACTCATTTAGGGGCAACGAGCTAGATGAGAGGGATGCGTCCGACAAGATTCGCCAGCTTTCGCTCAAAGACCTCGACCAGAAGCCTCAGATAAAGGAATCAGGCTGGTATATGTTGAACTCTATTTCGAGCCAATTTTGTTCTGGAGAAATATTGGAGCCTTCGTCTTGCTATCTTCACAACCCTCCGGAGCCTGAATTAGCCCTGAGGTACGAGAAGATATTCGACAAGTGTGCCAACAACTCCGTGGGTCTGCTCCTTGATCTCGATCTCACTGGCTCGCCGCCATTCCGCCTGCGGTACAGCATTGAGCACTCGAAAGGTGTTGAAACCAAGTCGCTGACGGTCGATGGTCTGCGCACTCAACTCGATTTCACTCCGTCTGAAGCCGGATTTTATAGATACCGCTTCATAGATATTGCGGATACAGTCTATGCGCCTCGCTCTTTGAAAGATAAAGTGCCTGTCTTGGAACAGGACGTGAAGCCACCAGCCTCTGCTCATTTCCTTGGCTCCAGGGAAGTGCGCAGAGCCTGTTTTGGTGAACCCGTTTCCGTAGACGTTTCCTTCCTTGGGGAATCGCCCTGGACTCTGCATTACGAACTGATCCACAACGGCAAAAAATCCAAACACGTCTTAGAATCCCATGCCGAGATTGCCACTATTGTCACTGAAAGACTCGTTAGTGGGGGTGAATATAATCTGGTACTGACGAGCGTTGAAGATCGTTCGAACTGCAAACGGACTTTAAAAGACAGCATCAGGATTGATGCTCGGTCAAAGCCACCTCACGTATCGTTTGGGCAAATCGATAAGAAGCGAACTGTGTCAGCCCTGCAAGGTGCAAAGGTTGATATTCCGCTGAGACTGAGCGGTGAACGACCATGGACGGTGAACTACAGGAATCTAGACGTTGACTCCCCTGCTATTGAGAAGACGTTCTGGCAGGAAAACAGTGTCTTGTCAGTGACGCAGGAAGGGCACTATAATCTCATTGGCGTGACAGACAGCTCTTGCCCTGGATCTATTGACCAAGCAGCTAGGGATTTCGAAGTTTCTTGGATACCTCGGCCGCATATTGCTGCTGTAGACGGCTCCCCTTTGGTAATGGGAAGCCCCATCGAGAAGCGCGACGTTTGTCAAGGTGACGATGATAGTGTGGAACTTCGCCTGACAGGCAATCCGCCATATACCATTCAGTGTGAACAGCAACGCAAAATGACCCGTGGCACGTCCTCTGTTCGAACAAGAAGCCTTAAGACGGCTCTCCATGTAACGTCCATGGAAATGGACACATCTGAAGCCGGGTTATACACGTACAAATTCAAGGAAGTCGGCGATAGCCTTTACGACTATGACCCAAGAAGTGAGCCTGTGATTGTGACGCAAAGAGTGAACCCATTGCCATCTGCGCGGTTTGATGCCCCTGGCCACATTTATGGGTTTTGTAAAGAGGATGTCAGTGGTGAAGAGTCCATTCCTGTTACTCTGGAAGGCGTTGCGCCGTTCTTCCTGGAGATCAATATCAAACACCATTCGAACGCCAAACCCGAGATCGTGTCAATTCCCAACATCGGCTCCAATCGATACAATCTACCTATTCCGCGTCGTTATCTGAATCTAGGCCAGCACGTCGTGAGCATTCACAAGGTTCGAGATGCGCGAGGATGTCAGCGGACGTTCGAGAACGATGCCTCAACAGTCAGAGTCGCCGTATCCGATGTGCCGACAATCATTCCGCTCGAATCCAAGATCGACTACTGTGTTGGGGAGCGCCTGTCTTTCTCCCTGTCTGGCCATGCCCCGTTCGACGTGTTTTACACGTTTGATGGGGTTTCGAGGAAGGCCACCTCCCGCACAACTAATTTCCGACGCATCGCGGAAAGACCTGGTATATTCACCATTACCGCAGTAAGCGACGGTGCCAGTGGAAAATGTAAGGCGCACAAGAACATAACAAAAACCATTCATGAGATGCCGAGCGTTAGAATTAGCAGAGGTCAAACCTCTGTTGTTGATATACATGAGGGTGGAGAAGCCGAACTCCAGTTCGAGTTCTGGGGCACACCACCCTTCGAATTCACGTAAGTCTTCTTTTTCGTTTCATTGTCTCCCGTCTACCCTGAAGCAAAGAAGATTGTGATGCTCATCGTCATTTCATAGTTACATCCGAAGTTCTATCCCCCGAAAAGGAAAGAAACCAGAAGTCCTGGATATCAAACACGATATCTCCTACGAGCATAAGAAAACGATCAAGACCTCTGACGAAGGAACCTACGAGGTCGTTGCAATCAAGGACAAATTTTGTTCTTTCTCCTCGCAGGCGCAAGTAGGAAAGTCGGAGAAGCTATTGGCCGGATCATGATTTGGGGAAAGGGAATGATTGTCACTTATGTAGGCTAGTTGGAGCCGTTCATGTATCGCGTTTGTCTGTGTATTATCCTATTCCATGTTTTCCCTTTTTTCTATTTTCTAAGCATTGCATTGCAACGGCGCTGAATTGGGTACTACTATATAGTACATCTCCGAAAGCACGTCTCCTAAGCACTATTTCCCGTGGCTTCTTTGTGCACATCTATCCCTTCAATCAATTGTGCCCCCAGCCTCGCAATCTCGTTCAAGATAGCCGTCTGGTTGATGTAGACATCTTCACTGCCTTTCACCTCCGGTCTCACCAGGGCAATGGGTAATGTGGAATATGTCATCTTTAGGCTCCAATTCTTGGGCTTAACCGTATGTGGGTTCCAGAGGCCTGCAATCACGTCGCACTGCTCATCGCCATGAAAGAACAGAATGTTTGGACTAAAGCACGCCTGCAATTCGCGAACGAATGCTCTGACCACAGTGAGCTTATCGGCTCGCTCTGGAATGACCTGTTGTTGCAGGTTCTTGAATCTGGATGATGACGATGCTAGGACTTCCGTGAGGGCCTTCGACCGTAAACTCAAAATAAAATCATAAGGCGCTAAAGATGTATGAAAGAGGTCGGAAACGTCGAGAGCATATCCTTTTTCTCGCATCAATCTCACAGCCGCCTTTGCCAAAGAGGACATGCGAGCTGCCACAACCTTCGAAGGCATTTCATACTGTGTCCAGGAGATCCCGTCGGTATCAATATCTGAAGCCACAAACAGAGCGACATTATTCATCGCCGGATCGATCTTTCGCCAGGCGGCAAAGCGCGTGCGGATCACTTCAACTGTATTTTGATCTAACTGCCCGCCCAGGTCAATCATTAACGGCTCTTGCTGCCAATCCCACCGTGAGAGCAGATGGAGCGTTCTCAGGAAGCCAGCCATGACACTGGACGGAGTATCCCATGGATACGGCTGCGTGAACACCCGAACTGCGAACAACTCCACCAATTCGTCGTATACATGACCTTTGAAGAGATGACAATTGAACCAATGCTTGACTAAGCGAACGGTAGGCGACAGCAATGGATGACGTGTACACAGGGTACGGATTGCTTGAGTGAGACGAGGTGATTGGAGAAACGTGCGCTTGTACATCGCCAGAGCGTACGCCACATCCTGCTTTGCTTGAGCGCTCTCTCCTTTCTGCTTCAGCAGCCGTTCTAACAGGGTTTGCTCTCGATCGTGATGAATGCGCAAGCGGAATATGACACCGGATGCATGGAAAATGTCAAGATATGCGTTATTGATAATTCGGCTGGTCTCGTTCTCTAAGCCCACTCTACAAGAAGTAGCGACACCAGAGGATTCTAAGCAATCGCCTATTTTGACAAGAAAGGCCACTTTCGTCATCTGAATTGCCGCAAGATCGTCCGGCCAACGCGCCGAGCTCTCGAACTGGAGCACCACATCGACGCGTTCACCCGGTATGCTAGGAGCATGTTGAACCCGGAGGGCAGTGTATCGCAAAAGCGGGCTAGCAGGGGCTAAGTGTCTCACCGTCAATGGAACACCTTCCATGTCTTGAATAGACTTTTCCAACGAGCTGAAGGCATCGGCGATCAGCTGGAAGGACGGGCTAGTATATGAGACTATACCATTTCCGTAGCTGATAAGTTTCTCCTCGAATTCGTCGCCAATATAATGAATGTCTTGGTCGACAAAATTGAAATGGCGCCGCAGGATATAAGACAATATCTGAAAGACTATCGATTTCGAGGATGGATGATCGGACCACACAAGACTCTCCAGAATACTACCATCTTTGAAGCGCCGGAGTTCAGCTTTCTCTCCCCAAAACGACTGGAAAGATGCTGCTTCTTCCTTTTGCTCCGCGGAAGGGCCATGGTCGACAACGCGCGAAACGTTCTCTGGATTCAAAAGCAGTCCAACTGATATTCTTTCCTTTAGCTTCTTCGACGGTGGTTTGGCTAGGGCAGACCATGGTTCGATGGAGCAGCTGGAGATGTGAATAAGTTTGACTCGATCTCCAAGAGCTTTCAAAAGGACACCGTAGATAGCCTGCTGATTGCGAATAGCTTGAAGAATGTTGCCGTTGTCAAAAGAGGGGAGTGCAATGATCCGATCGAATCTCAACATGGGTTCATTGACCTTCACAATGAAGACTTTATCAAAGTTGTCATCACGCGACTCGTTCAACATTTTGAGAGTTATGCCTGCTTCGTGGCGAAGGAAAGCATAAGACCAAGGCGTCATCTTGTAGAGTATATTGATTCCACGTTTCCCGTCGTATACGACAGGCCCATCCCCGGCAAATGAAATTCCATCAACAGTGGAAAATAGTAATGGCTTGGTAAGGTCACGGCCCGCGAGAAATTGTATAGTCGCTTTGAACAGCTGATAGCAACTATACGATTTGAGAAGGATCGGTTTCCCGTTAGCACCGCCACCCTCCAACAAAAGAGACATGAGCAACGCCCACTCAAAGCCCCCGAAGCCGCCCAAGTGAAACGATGAGGCGAAACCCCGTTGCTGGAGCCAGATTCGGCCTAGAAGACAAGCGTCTCGGTAAGAGTCGCATTGCCGAATGGTCGAATGTACGTGTTTGTGATAAGACGCGACGGTGGCCTCTGAGCGAAGAGCCGAATTATAAAAGGGCGTAGGCTCACTATTGCCGGTGTTTTCGCTTGAGACGTGACGCACGTTATTCTTCGCTGGCAACGTTCGAGAGATGGGAAACAAATCATCTTCGATAGCCGTGATGACGCGGATCTGGGACTTTGCGAGCGCTAAATCGCTGCTAGTACTGCTCGGTTCCAAGATGAGGACTGGACGAAGGCTATCGCCTTCCTGCGTAGCGAATTTGACATCCAGGCCGAGGTCTTGCGCTTCCCGAAGGCCGGCAGCAAGACATGCAATGTAGTACGCTCGTTTGTGGAAGAAGCGGTAATTGACATAATCTTTCTCCTGGAAAAGTGAACGCGGCATTGTCACTGCTAGATCGATTGTGTACTTCTCTGTCTGCTTGGTACCGGTTCTCGAGGCAAAACTCCCTACCACATTGATGTCCGTTGGCGGAGCATAAGATACAGGGTATTTTGTCTCCCTCGAGGGTCGCGGCTCCGGGAACGGGACAACAATGCCATATGTGGTGCGCAATTCCCTCTCCGCCTCACAAGCTAGCATCGGAGGTCTCTCGTGGAGTCGTTCGATGGCCTCCTTTACTCTGTGTAGAGTGTCCTGAACTCTTGAGACCTGTTTGTCGTAATTGGGCTTCGACGACGACAGCAGTTCATCCAGTTGCAGTTTGAAGAAGCTGGACTTGTAGAGTCCACTGGCTAGTGCAAGTTCTCCGGAGCGGTCGCCCTGCACTTTTCTGCTTGAACGGATACTCCTCGACGCCTCAGCATCCCGGCCGTTTGAGCTGAACTTCTGAGTAGATCCATTTTCTGGGGGCGGGCTTAGTTTCCTTCTCTTCGCAGTGTGGGCTGACATGTTATGCAAAGCAAGACGACTGCGACGAATTATAAGGAGAATGAGAAAGGGAAAAGCGACTATTTTAAAGCGCAAATACGCTTAGAAAATCATATCAACCCAATGCGGTAGGGGTTGAAAGAAATTATTATGAGTTCAGAAGTGCAACACTACTGCAGCAAATTTCTTAAGATAAATTTTCCGAAGCCATTTTCCTACCATTTTTTGTTTAGATAAGCACCTGATATCCCCAATATTCCACGTGATAAAACTGCTTGGAGCCAACCAGATCGACGGATTCTACCCGTTAGCACTCCGCACTTGAGCCCCGACGCGAAGCCGCCGAGATCGGTCTCGGCACATAGTAGTAAGGCAACTAATTACTCAGTCCAGTTACCACTAATTTTTTGACTCAGTCGTCTCTCTGTCCTTGCTCATTTCGAGTTTTGAATGATTTATTGAAATATCTTCTTTGATCTCTCCGATCAATCTAAGTCAAATCCACACTCACTGGCGACCACGCCTTCTGACCGATACTATCCGTGCTATCATGCTCCAAGATGTCGGAGGTCCCGTTCCCCCAAACACTGACCATGTACGTGCACACCCCAAGGTTGCTTCTCTCCGCGCCGCCAAACAGCTCTGTCATGGTCCAATCATGGGCTGATGTATGGAGTTGAGTCCGATAACAACATACGTTTGAATATTATTGTCTTTCCCTGGCGATTAAAATCCTTTAAATTGACAGGCGCATTCGTTCTTGGAGAAGCTGACCCAAAGTCCAGGCAGTCAGTGTATCACTTCCTACGTGGAGTGCCAATGTAGCCTACGAAGAAGGAGAACCGTGGATTGTGAAAAAGATGAAATGTGGCTATCCTCGCTTCTTCATTCATCCCATCATCCAGGATCTTGCGAGGGAAGTTGTAAAACTTCATGGAAATACCGAAACAGAAGCGGCTTCGTTGTTCCCGTCACCCAAGACTGCAAACGTATGCCGGTCATTCATTATTTCGAGGATTCCCTCCCAAGAATCGTCAAGAATCCGTATTGTCAACTTCGTTCCTGCCCCTCACACAGAGTCCCGGCCACAGACGATAAGGTCGCCCCTATCGTGTGTGATTTACCCAACAGAATACGCTTCTATGGCCAAGCAAGTATGGCAGCACAGTGGAAATGGAATATCCAGTCGTCGGGGCGAATTTTGTCTAAGCGCGCTGCGAGATGGATTCCTTGTGGAGGATAAGGAACCTGCACAAATTGAGCAATCGTCACAGAAATTTTGTAAGGGTCCACGGCGATATCAGGGAAGAGGATCAGCGAATGGTATAGTTCGGAGTGGTGCAGTCGCTGCCTCGGCCCCTGACTTGTCGACGGAGAATACTGAAACTCAGGACGGCCGTGAATACGTCCAATTTATCGAGGAGCGCTTCGGCAGGAACTTGAGCGTTTTACTGGCTGATCAAGCGAAGCAAGCTGTGCGCAGACGAATCGCGGGCGTTCTCACTGCTAATGTCGATTTAAGTGAGGCTCTTGATGAAGCATCAGGAGAGGGTAGAGTAGCAGGATTGACAGAGTCCGATGTTTTTCTCTTCCCAAGTGGTATGAGTTCAATCTTCAATACGCACCAGATGCTTCTGGCCGCTAGAGGGCCTTTGAAAAGCATTTGCTTTGGATTCCCCTACATAGATACCCTGAAGACGCTTGAGAAATGGGGTCCTGGTTGCCTGTTCTATGGACATGGTTCCTCTGGAAACCTAGACGATCTGGAATCCCGACTAGAAGGTGGCGAGAGATTTCTTGCGCTTTTCACCGAGTTTCCGGGAAACCCATTACTCAAATCTCCTGATTTGAAGAGAATATATGCTCTTGCACAGAAATATGACTTTGCAGTGGTGGTGGATGAGACAGTGGGCAACTTCTTGAACATCAATGTGCTTCCTTATGCAGACATTGTTGTCAGCAGTCTGACAAAGGTCTTCAGTGGAGATAGCAATGTTATGGGAGGAAGTGCTGTTATCAATCCGCATGGGCGCTATTATCAGGAACTGCGAACCACTTTCAGCCGTGAGTACGAGGATAATCTCTGGGCAGAAGACGCCGTTTTCTTGGAGAGGAATAGCCGAGACTTTGTGTCTCGAATCGAAAAGATAAACAATACCACCGAAGACATAACAGCCTTGCTAAAGGGATCCCCCGTTGGTGAGCAATCCAACATCCTGAGGCGAATTCTTGATTCCATTCTGACTCCTTGTTAGTGAAAGATGTTTACTACCCTAAGTACAACACTTCAAGGGTTTTCTACGAGGACTTCCGCACCCCCAATGGTGGGTATGGTGGTCTGTTCTCCGTCACCTTCCACTCTGAGGCTGAAGCCATCGCTTTTTTCGATCACCTCGAAGTTCTCAAAGGCCCTAGCCTTGGAACAAATTTCACGCTCAGGTGAGTGTCCATATACGCACCCACTACGCGTTCTTCTGGCAAGCTTTGGCTTACGCATCTGAACCAGTTCGCCATATACGCTACTCGCACATTACAATGAGCTCGACTGGGTAAGTATTGCGTTGTTCGCCCCAATTCTCCTTCTGCGGTTCGATGTTTCGCTCCCCTCCCCTGGATTAGAGCCTCCGCTTACTGCCCATTGCAGGCTGCTTCGTTTGGTGTCGAGTCGAATTTGGTGAGAATAAGCGTTGGTTTGGAGGATGTATCGGATCTCCGCGACCAAGTCCAGCGAGCCCTCGCGGCAGTCGCAGAAGCGAAGGTTTAAATCAGGATCGATTTCTTGGATCTTGAAGCTCGCTTATCTTAGTAAGAGGCTACGGTCTCACTCTGCAATACCTACGAAACGGACTCGTTCTCCACTGTTATTGCTGCCTATCCGCCGGCCGAAAAGCATTTAATCAGAATAAGTGGCGGTATGCGGCGATTGGTCAAAGGCCTGAAAGTGGTTGGCATTGCATAATGATTATTGATCGGCTTGTGTGCAACGGCATCCCTCGACATTGTTGAGGCCTATATATTTCTAACGAAAATGAGGTCCATCCTAGTATCCATTCAACATCATTAAAGTTCAACAAAGAGTGCAAGACGGAACGAGAAGCTACCCGTTATCACAGAGATCGATATGCTTTCCTTAGAACTATATACGTGAATGAATAAACCAGATCCCCGAGGAATTGCCTTTCCAATAACAATCAAGGCAACAAGGTACGAAAAAGCCCACGGAGATATTTCAACATCTTGTTTGATCGTTAGCATCCTCGCCATAGTTTTGTTTTGAAAATCATTTGTCTTTGGCAATGATCAGATCCTCGCTACCTGTTCGTCTCAACGCCTGTCGCATCGTCTCTATGCTAAACTCGCCACCGACGTTAGGGGAGATTGGCCTTTGGACGGCCAACCGTGGACTACCTGCGGCAAAACTTTCCCTACTTGAAGAAAGGTCCGATGCCTTGATCGAATTCGGGGTGCTAGTGACCGTACATGTATCCAATTCATGAAGAAGCTTTGGGGAACGTAATGGCGATGGAGAGCTGTTTCGCATTGAGGGTGACTGGTGAGAGGATTCACGACTAGAAAGAAAATCGGTAGCTTCCGCATGTTCAGCATTGACGACGTCAGCGAATGATACGAAGCTCAACCTTCGTACATTAGTACTTTCCAGAGTCTTGCATGGCGAATGAGGCTCTTCTAAATCCTCGGAACCATCTCTAACGTGCTCAAAACACGACGATGGCAGCGAAGGCTCTACAGCGAAGGCACCACAAACTCCCGCTGTAGCAGATTGGTGGACGTTACGTGTGACGATCTCGACTGTATCTGGGCTAAGGCGGTCGTCGGTGATTGCGACAGAAGACGCCTCCAGTACAGGGGGAATATGGTCTTCCATACTTATATGCGAAGGGATCGAGGGTGAAGTATGCACCGGTAACAGATCTTTTTGCACGTCGCGCTCAAAGATTGAGGACGACGACAAGGTTGGAATCCCTGAGCCTGACTGATCTATGCAATCTGGTGAAGCCGATCTGGAGAGATGTCCCGGTGTATATGATCGGCTAGGGTACATGTCGGACGACTTGGGGCGCACATCAGCAGCTGACACACGTGGACCTGGTAGGGCGGCCGAAGCTATCTGGTCACCATTTTCAATCTTGTGGTCTTCTCTTAAGTTGCGCTGGCGTTCCGATTCGATCCGGCCTCGGTCAGTGACATTTGATTGGAACTTGTCGATAGATGTGTCCTCGATATCTCCCTGTTGGCCTCGTGGAAAGGTTCGCAGTGGCTCTTCATTCAAGTGACTGCTCCCTCGGCGATGGATTATCGAGTCTGGACAATCCTGCGTATCCATGGCAGAGGGGCAGACCTGTACTCTTTGCCGAAATTAGATAGCCGTAACAGCTTCGCACATCACTACTCCGGTGCTAAAGGTTTGAACACCTTGTGGAGCGCTTTCTGTGCAAATGTAGGACTCCCCAGGAAGCTCCTGATCCTTTAGAGATACACTAAGCTCCCTGATTCTTTTATGCCTTTGGCTCCAAGTGGCGTCATATAAAGTGAAGTATTTTTGCACGTTTAGCAGTGAATCAACCAGATTCGGAGCTACTTGCTCCCATGCGAGTAGTAGAGTCAGCACGAGAGCGGATGCGTGCAGAACCGTAACCAAACTTAGTAGGCGTTGGGGATGAGAAGCGAAGATGTCGCATCAAATATGTTGAGGAGGTGAAATAAGATAAGGTTCGCAAAACCTAGAGGTCGGATGGTCTGAGTTATTGATTAAGATGGTCGGGGGTATGACGTTGACCTTGTTATCTGACAGATTAGAAAGTTAAAAGTTAGGCTGGCTCAAKGAACATGGAAACATAAAACATCTCGTTAAAAAAAGAAATATTGCGATAAAATCATTTTAAAGCAACCAGATACAGATAAATCAGAAATGCTCGAGGAACGCCATTGTATGGTAGCAGATTATCAGTTGGTAATAAGTCGTGGCCGAGGCGGAGAGAGTGACAAAGTGCCATTACTAT